AAAAAGACAGAAATACACTGAGTTTGCAGTATTGAGTAAGTGAAGTTGAAATAAAATTAAGAATGTTATTTTCTGTTTGTGATATTCTATTCTATGCCCATAATGAAAGGTATAGTTTTATCTTTTAAAAACTTATTCCATGAGCCGGGCAATGGTGGCACAAGTCTTTAGTCCCAGCACTCGGGAGGCAAAGGCAGGCAGATCTCTGTGAGTTCGAGACCAGTTTGGTCTACAGAGCTAGTTCCAGGACAGGCTCCAAACCACAAAGAAACCCTGTCTTGAAAAACCAAAAAAAAAAAAAAAAAAAAAAAAAACCCAACCAAACAAACAAACAAAAAACCTTATTGTTGTTCCTTTTGGAAACTACAGCTCCCAGATTCCTCCTGAATTACGGACACCTGCATGTGCAGGCGTGCACAGGTGCAGGACATTTCTCACTGATACCCTTGCGCTTTTTGTTAAAAAGCGAGCTTCCACGAGCCCTCGCTCTCTTGCCCTTCACCCCCTTGTTCTTGCACACCTGTCCCTTATTGTGCTCCCCCCCCCATTAAAAAAGCCACGTGGGAGCCGCGTGTCTATGTCTCCTACTTTCGTGCGTGTTTTGTCTGTCCCGTGTTTGTCTCCACACACACACCCGCTTTAAAAGAATAATATTTTGGTGCCGTGTGTAACCCACTCGGGGACTTCTTCTTCACCCGAGGCCTGGGCTGCGGGCTTCTGGTGCCTCCCAGAGTCCGGAGCCTCACTGTGGGACACAAAGTCAGAACCAAGACCTGCAACCAGTTCCAACTGCTCACCACGGCCATCTCTGACCGACTCCAACTAATTCGTGAGTTTACCCCGCTTGCTCCTCTTTCCCATCATGCCTAGAGAACATCTGGCCGGCTTTCTCTGGCGCATCCTGGGTTGAGTTGCTTAACCCCCCCCCCCTTTTCCTTCTCCCGGCCTTTTGCCCTTGGCTAAATTTGGTTCTGCCCGCAACTGGGAATTTGGTGTTCCCCAGCTTTCTACCTGGGAATTTGGTGTTCCCAGCTTTCTGCCTTCTTTCCTCCTTCCTGCTCTGCTCTTTCTCCCTCACGTGCGGGCTTGCTAATGGGGCAAGCACCTTTCGGACGGTCAGCACCAAAGGGCGTAACTATCCCCTCCCAGCCAGGTCTGTTTCAAGTCGGTAGCTGGGCTCGGGCCGATTTCACCCATAACACGGCCTTCTGATTGCACGGACGCCTGTGACCAGAACTGCTGTGCTCGTGGCACCTCCATGTGCCTCCGGCAGTCAGCTCCACGATTTACCATGGGTGCTAGGCCATCCAAGGCTATCCCCCCTCTTCCCCTCTTAGTCAGCTCCTGGAATCTCTAAAGCCTCATGCTTTGATTCCCTACATCAAATTGAACAAGCTGACGCGTCCCTGCTCCAAGACTTGGCCCCGTTATAAATTACAGGGTGATCTCCGCTGGCCTTCTCAGGGCTCATTTGACCCCTCTCCACTGTCCTTCTCAGGGCTCATTTGACCCCGATGTCTTATGGCCAATTTCTGTCATTGCTCAGCCAAATGGAAGGAAATGACGTATATCATGGCATTCTTTTACATGGCCCTAAAGACTGATCCGTCTACGGCTTCCCAATGTTCACCTGCCCACATGTTCCTGGCAATGTCTTCCCCACAGGGACTGTCTTCCCGGCAGGCAACCTCTGCTCTGGCAATGGCCATGGATCCAGCGGACGAGCCTCCCCCCTCCCCCCCCCCCCCCCCGTGATGCCTCTAACCGTTCCACCCTCAGATCTCCCTCTTGTTCTCCACCACACAAACATTTCCCCAGATCCAGGTCTCTTTCCCCAAGAAGCTTCCATTCCCGCCTAAGCTCTGGTTCCTTGTCCAGTTCCTCCGATTCACCTTCACCTCATTTTTCCCCCCGCAACAGGCCGCGCAAACAGCTAACAGTTTCTTTCCACCACAGGCAGCCAGAAGCATCATCGGACTCCTCTGTGTCCCCTTCCCCCCCCCCACGCCCCCTCAGTCTTTCAAAATGCCCTCAGGCCCTAAACCCGGCTGCCATCTTGCCCCAACCTTCACCCCGCCCCTTATGCTCTCGCAGGCCACAGCAGAGACTGGCCCTGGCCAAATTAAGCCAGCTACAGTTCTACCCTTGCCGGAAGTGGCCGGCACTGAGGGTCTTATGAAAGTCCACGTGCCGTTCACCTTATCAGAGCTCTCCCATGTCTCAAAGTTGCTCGGGTCATACACTGCTGACCCCACCAATTTCATAAAAGAATTTCAATATTTAACCCAATCCTATAATTTAACATGTATGTATGTATGTATGTATGTAT